AACGTAGTGTGTGTGTGTGTGTGTGTGTGTGTGTGTGTGTGTGTGTGTGTGTGTGTGTGTGTGTGTGCATAAAAGTATTTTTTATATTTATTAAATCTTACAGTAATAAGTAGAAAACCGCTTAAACAAAATTCGATACCAAAATGTAGTACCAATATTAATGACATTAAGGAATATGTATTTTCAATGTTATCGGCAAATCTATAATAATAAAAAGTTTTTAGAAAATGTCATATAAAGATTAATTAGACTGTTTAATCCTCTAGAAATATTGATATATTCTGTATCTATTATTTTATATCTAGATATAATTTAAAATGTATTCTGTAGTATAACTAAATTAATTTAACTAAATTAATTTTAAACAATAAATTTAACAAATAATTTTCGATGATGGATAAGATACCTGCCCGGAGAACAGGCGATCCAGGTTCGATCCCTGGCTGAGATGATATTTTTCGCAATATATAATTCGCGTAAGGAGGATAATAAAAGGGATTTTAATCAATATCAAAAATTATTTGATATCAAATCATTATAGAACCATTATTTTGAAAGTCTGCTAAACTAAATGGTACGTAGTTGGTGATATAATTATTGAATTTATTTTATATAAAAATTTAGCAACCAAGATCCTGCTTGCCATGAATCGGTCTTTGTTACTATTGTTAAGTTAATTTTATTAAATATTTTATAGTCACAATAAAAAATCATACCTGATAAGTCGTGAATGAGTCGTTATAATATTATTTAAAGTTCTGTTGAAATTTTTACATAAAATCAATCTAATTAATTGGTGTCTGAAGTTCTCTAACTGACCACAAATGTGAAAAATCATTAGCAATAACAAAATATCGATAAACATGTAACTGCCAGCTGCAAAGAAACATGTTACAGCTTGAAAGAAAAATGTCAATTCAAACTGCGGACTCTTATCAGCATCATAGAAGTGATATGTCTTGATTGGTAACATCTTGCTACGACCCGTTATATTCATTACATATCCTACTTGTACACCAAAAAAAGGAAAATAGTCATTGTGATAAGTCCAATTATCGTGAAAATGTATCCAATAATCATGATTAATCGAGAAGTTCGAGCTCGTTCTATCATCACATTTCTCTCTGTGTCCAGCTTAAATTTTATCCAATCTTCCGCCATCATACTTATCATTGACGAAAGAACTTAAAAATATAAATGTAAAAATATATATAAAATGATATTGTATATTAAGGTGTTAAAATATTAAATTATTTACAAAAACTGCCAATATACAATTATTTATAAACTATCAAATTAGAAGAAGAAACTCATAAATACATGTTCCATATTTGTGTTAAATATATTGTTATACAAAAGTAAGTCACAGATAATTTCAAGTTTGTGATATTAATATTTGCAATATTTGCACTAATAAAAATTAACTAATAAAAACAGTCATAAAACAATTTTGCTAAAGTAAAAGATAATATTCTAAATATTTTATATTAAATATTTCTCAATATACCTGCTTGTTTGTAGCGTATAATGACATATTTCACTGAAGCTATCAACATAGGTAACGTTGTTCGTAAATTGTCTATTACAAGTATCATATTGCCCCAAGTTTGTACAACCGCATACAACATTGGAATATTACAAACAAATATTAGTAAACTTAAGATAATGCACACACGAATTTTTGGCCATAAACCTTCCTTAACGGATTTATCGATTTTAGGCCACAAACCGATTATTTCCAAACCCTTGCGATGGAGTTCGACTGCCCACACGAAATCTAGTAATTTTTTTTATTTAGAAAATATATGAACAACTTGAATAATTGATAATAAATTAATATATAAATTTCAGAAAATTGACATTGTGGAAGATTAAATAAAATTTTATACTATTAACTTATATGACACGTTTATTTTTACGTAACATTTTAATTATAAATTGTAAATTTTAATTATAAATTTAATAAATTTATTAAATTTATTAAATGTATTAAATGTATTAAAAATATTATGAGCATAAGATCTAAAGTTACTACCTTTATAACCTAGAGATGCTGAAAATTCCATGTTTAAACGAAATTTTTTCCATTCTATTGCTTAGAAAAATTATAACATATGTCTGTTATACGTTTAACAGTCAATTTAGCTTTACCACGAATAATGTTTGAAAATTGTTTCTCTCAGTTGAGTTTCATGCATAATTTTGTTTTATGCACAAAACTTTATGATACATAAAACTTTATAATTTATAAAAAGCATATCTGCTGTAACCAGATGGAAAATTATAGGTATGTAATTGTATTGCAGTTTTTGTATTAAAAACTTGTCATGAAAATTTTTTTACATAATTTATCATATTCATTCCACGCATGCAATAAAAAGTTGGAACGAGAAGTAGTAGAAGAAGGTACATGCATTTTTAATAAATTCTCTTATAGCGAATCCACGACAATGAAAAAGAATTGTTAAGAGAAAAAATAGTACAACATTACATTTTGCTATACATTGGACTCTATAAATCCTGTAATACGTGTTTATACACTTGTTGATAGTATACATATTAATTTGTTATTGTAAGTTATTATTTTTATCAAACACACTGATTATCTAATATACATCTTACAATAATATATATCTTACAATTATTTTTTCATTAAAATATAAATATCACAGTTCTGTCAGTATATAATTTTTCTGCAGACTTTTTCTACGTATAAATATACGTACAATTCCTTTCTTTCAAGTATCTAGTTTATATCCTCTTCTTAAAAATTTTGCTAAATTTTAACTAGAATATTCAGTTTTACATTATTTTTATGTGAAATAAAGTGCTATGGATAGTAATAGTATTCTTTTAATTATTATTTAATAATTTTATTTGGTTATTATTTTATAATTATTATTTATAATAATTATAATAATTATAATTATTTTATAAATTATTGTAGTTTAATATTGAAAGAATAAGAATTTTATATTGTATTTTTCCATATAAATTTAAACTTTGTTATTAGTTTGAAAAATATATTTCCCACACAATATATTAATATGAAATTAATATGTGAATGCTTCTTATAAGTTGTAGTTTTTAATCTTTAGTTGTCACATCTAAACGCCTTGAATTTCGAATTTAGAGCAGCTAAAAATAATGTGGTAAATAAGACAAATAAGAATCAGCGCTGTTCACAGTGCGCAATTAATATTCTTTATTACAACTTAAATATATAATACAAACGTTTCGACTCTTGAATTTGAGTCATCTTCAGTGTATATAAAAATAAGATCCTGCGTTCATCTGATTGCGGTCATCTTTAAAGGAACAAGACAAGCCTTTAAGGGATTATCAATTATCAGATGAACACAGTTCACATGAAAATTAGTGAAAATTAATATGTATTACTTGTGTTACCCCAACATTTTAAAACATGTACTTTTAGAGCTAAATAATAGCATACTACCTCACACACAAATATACACACATGCACATACATCCAGGCAAACACACATACACATAAACCTTTCTCAAATGTGCAGGTAAATCGCATATTATTATCTAAAATCTCTTGATTTATTATAAAAATCCGATTTAGAACATTAGAAAAGTAATAATAAAATACATTTCGGCTGTAGCAAAAAAACTAGCCATTTTTAAGCTTTGTGCTAAGGAAACTTTTGATCAGTAAGTCAAGAACTATAACATATTAAAATTTCAGCCAATTTCATAGAGAACCAAAAATCTATGGTTTTGTGCGGCGTCCTTTGAATAACATAAATAATATAATAATAATTGAAAAAACATTATTGATACTTTATTGATTGATAAAATATATTTGTGTTATTATTTCATTATTCTAATTTATTTTGTAAATATAAAATTATAAAAAAATTAACATAATTAAATTAAATATGATAGTAAATTTTATTTGTCGAAAAACTATTTCTTTTTATAAATAAATAAGTATAAATAAAATTGTTATAAAGAATTATAAAAATACTAGCTTAAAATATAAACATAAAAAAACATTAAATTATGTCGAGCAAATGTTTTACTTTTAATTACTTTCATTGTAAATATAATACAATTATTTTAATTATAATTACTTAATTGAAAATACTTTAAATCTTAATAAAATAAATTACATAGTCTTTAATAATTTTTATTCAATTTCGTTTTGCCAACAAAAATGATATATATCCTGCCGATGTTTTTAATAGCTGAAATATAAATTATTAATTACATAAGTTAAGAATAAGATTTTATTAGATATTTTAAAAAAGTATTTTAACTATAAAATAATTATATTATTCATTTTATCCTATTTTTTAAATTGTTAATTATTAAATATAAATATCTTACACTGCAAAATGTGGTCATTGTTAATGGAATAATCTTTCCTGCGGTAATACGAAAAGGTTCACTGGTTCGTATTATTAATAAAATGAGACATCTCGCATTTTTGGAGTCCAATTTGTACCACTCAAGATCATTTAGAGTACGATATATTGCTTCACACTTAACATATACAATATATAATGGCATATGTATATATGTATACACATGTATATATGTATACATGTGTGTATACACAAAAATACAAGACATTAATTAAATTCAGTAATATTTCACTTCATTAATATTTATGGAAACGGATTTATAAAATATATTATAAATTATATATATGTTATATATATGTTATATATGTTATATATGTTATATATGTTATACACAAATTTAAATATTACAAAAGGAAATATTATAAATTCATGTAAAATTTAATAAACATTTATTTTTAATTAAAAAATATTATTAAATTAATATGGATTAGTAATTGACTGTAATATAGATATATTAACAGTTAAATAGACATTTTTCTTATACGTATTATTACTGATATTGATATATTCCCTACCTGTCCCGTTATCAGCTCCCCGGCTCCGCAATAGAGAAAAGTATGTACTAAAAGTGTAATGACACCAGAGATAACGTAAAATATTCGTGAAAAAGTAACATCATTCGTTTCATTGTCAGTAATCACCTATGTTATAAATATCTTATTTAATAAGAACGGATCAATATAAATTAATTACATAATATTGTAATCATAGACAAAATATATTGTACAATTTTACAGTTGTAATTTAATTAGACATCATAGGACGCGCTAATGTCTGCAATACGTGCTTTTTTGAACTTACAGTAAGCAAAAGAAATCCGTATAGACAAAACACAATACCAAAATAGAATACTAATCCCAACATCATTAATGAAAATGTATCTTCAATTCTATTAGCAAATCTGTAAATATAAACATAATAAACAAAAGTATCATATTTAATTCAATAAATTATATTTAAATGTATAAAATCCCTATAAAATCCTGTAAAAACAGAAATTAGAAAAAAACCCGATTAATGGAATTTGTAAAATTTTATTTATATGTAATAATAAAATAAGTTAGAAATATAGTGTGATATATAAAAATATTCATGTGATATAGATATTTTATGTAAAAAAAATATTAGAAATAGTTAAAAATAAAATAAATATCAGTGACTTAATCAATTTGTAAGCTCTACTAAATTTTATTTGGTATAACATTATTATATTATGTTATAATGAAAACCTGCAAAAACCTAATAAGTCGTAGATGGGCGATTACGTTTTCACATAAAGCATTATCAAAATTTTTGCACGATACTAAGTTGACCAATCGACGTCTAAAGTTCTCTAACTGGCCGCAAATGTGAAGAATCGAAAGTCCAAGAAAAGCATCTACCGATGTATAAGTTATAGCTGCCAAGAAAATTGTCATGGCTTGAATAATAAGTGTAAATTCAAATTGCGGACTCTTATCTGTGTCGTAAAAATAATACGTTTGCAGCGGTAATGGTTTGTTCCGATCAGTGAGATTTGTTAAGCGTCTGAATGGTACGCCAAAACAAGGAAAAATGATGATCATAGTAAACGCCGATATCATTAACATGTATCCACAAATTATAATCAATCGAGCAGTTCGCCCTCGTTTTAACATCACATTTCTCTCTATATCTGGTTTTAATGCCATCCAGTCCTCCGCCATCATTTTTATGATTGGTAAGATAGCTTGAAAATACAAAGTAACATCATATTATACATCATATTACAAAAATATTAAATTATTCATATCCTAAATTTATACTGAATAACAGAATTATTGATTCATTATTAATCAATTTAACATTAGTTTTCCAATGTAATTTTCCAATGTAAAGGAGAGAATTCTCGAAGTTGTACCGGTTTCCTAAATCGTACTTAAAATATTTTATAAATATTTTATATTTTACATTTGTCACTAATTTGTATACAAATTAATATTGAAAAATGTAACTGTGAAGACATTATTATCTATTATTACATGTTATCCTATAAATTAATACAGTATTTAACACGATTTTGGCAACTCTCCATTGCTATTAGAAAAAAGGAAATAAATTATATATAATTTTTATGTTTTCATATCTGAATGTAATTTGAACATTTTACAAATTAAAAATTATATGCAAAATAATTTTACGATAAAAAGAAATTTCAAGTTAAATAATGTAAATAATTTTAGACAAAACCTGTTCGCTTCCACCGCATCATGATAAGTTTCATTGAGACTACCATTAGAGGTAACGTAATTTGTAAATTGTCTATCACAAGAATCATGTCATGACGAACCCGTATAAGAGAACATATAAGAGGAATACCAGAAACAAATGTTACTATAATGAAAATGATGCCTATACGAAGATCGGATGTGAAATCATTTTCAACTGCTTCATTCATTTTTGGCCACAAACCGACCAATTCCAAACCAAATCGATTTAATTCAACTGCCCACACAAAATCTAACAAGAATTCAATATTAGATAGTTTAAGTAATAACAAAATATAAATTATGCATATAAAAATTTAAATTTAAATATTTAAAAATTTTATATAATTAAAGTTAAATAAATTTTTTTAATTCGACATGATGACGCTACATATTAATAACACATAATTTGAAAATTCATGATTTAAGAATATTAAAATATAAGTTAAAATTCTAAATAAATGAAAGATATATGTGTTACATGTAAAAAATATAATAAATAACTAAAATCTATATTAAATAAAAAAATAAATTATTTTTTTATAAAAATTGTTGTTTTGATTTGATAGTCCATAAATAAGTAAAAGTAATACAAAATAGCTAATAATAATACAATAGTAATGTATAAATGAGTAATGGTAATACAAAAAAATTCTTCAAAATAAATTTCAAAATAAATAAAATTTCATCTATAACCTGAATACTTGGAGATGTCCATGGCGGACTAATATAAGGACTTCGCTACTTTCCATTCTCTAGTGAGAGATTATTATTACGCATGCTCGCGAAGTGCAATAACCTGACTACCTCAAAGCTGCATTAAATATTAACGATGCTATCCCTAATTGACAGTTATTCGCTTAGTAAAAAAAAACTTTTGTTTCGATCAAGCATTCGAGTAAATTTACGTCTGATCTATGAGGAAAGATAAAAAATATACTGTTATAATACTTCGTAACTATTGAGAGAAGTCGTCTTACAAATTTTTTATAGTACTTCGATACATATGCGTTTATTTGAAAACGAAGAGAAATGCATTTTTAATGAGATTCTATATAGCAAATACGAGAATACTAGAAAAACTGAAAACCTGCATGATATCATTTGTGTCATACTTACATTTTAAATGTTCATTATGAGATATATTCATTTCTAGTGCTGGCGCAATCTGTCAGCAGTATGAGTTAAAATATTATATGCAATATTTAAATATATGGAAATAATCTAAAAGGATTAGCATTCTAATACAACTTTCTGTACCTCAAAATTAGGTATTTATCTATTCTTTCTTTTTTTCATTTTTTCAAATGGTATCATCCTATAATAATACATAATATAATCTATTTTATATCAAGTTAAAATATAATTAATGCGCAAATGAATAATCAATATAATTAAATTTTACACATAAAAGTGCACATAAAAGTGCACAAATTTATAAATACAAATAGTATAAATTTAATAAATAATAAAAGTACTTCTCAGAATCTAAAAAATATAATACATGAATTGTCCATTTTTGATTTCTCTGATTGAAAAAGAAATTACATAATTGCGGTAAACAACGATTTACTTTTATATATATATATACAATAAATAATATAATTATTAATTTTTATATTCGAAAGTATATTAGGAATATATTTCCTTTTATTATCAGGAATATATTTCCTTTTCAAAATAAGTAAATAAAAATATTACTAATGTAATTGTTTTCAACTTAGTTTTGCTAATAAAACCGATATTTAGCCGAAATATAATTTATACTTTATATACCAAAAGAGCCTTCATGCCCTTCAAATACAAAGTTCCATCAAAATATCCAGCATGCTTTTCAAAATTTTTGGAAAAAATGAAATTTTTTTCAATTTTTTCAATCCTGTATCTTTGGAACTAAACCGAAACTAAGCCATTTCGGAAATATGAGGTTTTCATCTTGAATTTAAGTGAGGAATCACCCCTTAAAATCTTTTAATGTACTTAAGATACATCCTATATATCTTACAATTATATTTCCATTATAAAATATAAATATTGATTCTTTCAGTGTATAATTTTTCTGCGGATTTTTTCTGCGTATGACAGCCAATCTCTTTCTTTTATATCAAATATCTAATTTATGGCCTTTTGTTAAAATTTCGCTAAAATGAAACCAAAATATTTAATTTTACATTGTTGTGTAATTATTTTTTTAATTATTATTTAATAATTTTCATAAATAATATTATAGTTTAATGTAGAAAAAATAAGAATTTTACGTTGTTATACATTTCAATATAAATTCGAATTTTTTCATTGATTTGAAGGATGTATTCTGTACAACATATTAATGATAAATTAATATCTAATATATGTCCTTTATAATTTGTGATTTTTAGAAATATATTTATAACTATCTGTATCTATTAAATATATCTATATATATTAATCTATATATATCGTCTGTACTTAATATAATTCGCGATCAATAGTATCATTGTATTTGTTTATAATGTTTATATTGTTATTATCAATATGTTTTTATTATTATTAATGATATTAGTCATGTCGTGCAAGTAAAACCGATATGTAACCGCCCGATGTTTTTAGTAACTGAAACAAATTGTTTTAAAAACATGACTTAATATGTTTACGAAAAAAGATCATAAATATTAAATCATAATTTTTTCTATAAAATAAATAAAGTTTTTTAAAAAAATTTTGTAATTAAATGTTTACTTACATTGCAAAAAGTATTCATCGTCAAAGGAAAAATTTTTCCAACAGTTATGTAAAGTGGGTTGTTTGAGTGAATCATCAATAAAATTAGATTTTTGGCTTGCTTTGGTTTCAATTCATACCAACAATATTCACATGCAGCCTGGTAAATACCCTCGCACTACAATGTATTTTACAAATATTTAATTTAATTTTACAAATATTGACATCTCTTACAAATTTATTAATTTTAAAAACAGAATTAATTATGTATTTTACTATGATCAAAAAGTATCGAAACTGCTCCAATAAAACGCAAACTATGAATTTATTCAAAATTTATTTCATTTCTCTTCGTATTCGTTGAATTTTTGGTTAGAAAATCATGAACAAAACAAGAAGTGTAAGCAGAAGCATTATCACGACGCGTCTCAGGTCTAAAATTGTCTTTCCAAATTGATTGGCATGAACCAAATAATATTCCAACACGTTCAATCATATCTCAAATTATCAATCGTCTATCAATTACTGAGCACTAAATCTTGGATTTCTTTGATGTGTTGCTCATTTGTTGAAGTGGAAGTGGTTTTTCCAGAGCGATCCTCATCTTCGATGCGTCCTCTATCTTCTTTGAATATTTTATACTGTTCGAAAATTCTTGTTCTCGATTTGATGGATTTATCATAACAAAAATATTGTTTTTGTCCACGAAATTTCATTCCGATGATAAAATTTTATACAAATTTTTTGCTCAACAAAATTCGACATGTTAAAAATCACCGAAAATACTTTTTCAACCACAAAATAAGCGTTTATTTTTGTAGAAAAGACAAACAACAAAGAAAGATAATGACGTGAAATTTTAGACAGAAGTTAGAAACAATTCTATTAATTTAAAAAAAAAATGTTTCTTTGATATATTCCAAGTACGCAGTTTAAATGAGCCAATCCTGATACTTTTTGATCACAATAGTATTTAATTCGACACATTTAAAATTATTATTTTATTATTTTATTTATTAATTATTTAATCTATTTTTAAATATTTAATCTGCTATACTGCAGAAGTAAAAATATATATACTTTAAGAATATAGATACAATAAACACCAAACAATTGTGAAAACTGCGATATGCGTTTATTTTTTATTGTAATTGTTATGTAATTATGTTACAGTGTAAATTTGAAACAAATAGTATTAATTTACCTGTATTATCAGACATTCTCCAACCACACAATACAAACACATGTGTGCGAAAATATTCACAATAACCGTTACAAGGAATGACAGTCTTACGAAAGATAAATGACGTCCATCAGTGATAATCTAAATTATTAATTAATATAAAGAAAACATTAATATTAAAAAAAATATTAAGAGTATTATCAAAATAAAATATATTTATATATTTTAATAATTACAACTTTATACATACAAGTATCTTTATATTTATATACATCTTATATCAATATTATAAAATTTAACTAATCTAATATTAATTATGCATTAAATATTAAAATGATTTTGATATTAGCATAATTTTCATTTAATTTTTACAATTCAAAGAGAATATTTAGTTTACTAAATATAGAATATATCAGAATATAAAATAGAAGTAAGTAAGAAAGAAGAATTGAATAAAATATCTTTATCATAAGATACAAAAGAAAAAAGTACTTTTATTATTGACTTACAGTAACTAGTAAAAATCCATATAAGCTAAACAATGTGCCGAAATAAAGAAATAATCCAAGAAGCATAAAAGTAAATGTACCTTCAATGATTTTAACACATCTATAATAAACAAAATTTTTGTTAAAAATAATACAAAATAAAGAAATGTATTTTAATAAATTATAACTGTTTTATAACAAATGTATTCCTTATTAAATGTGCCCAAGAAATCATAAATTTAAATATTATATAATAAGTTCAGGTAAATTAATTTATTAATCATATTATACAATTTTATTGGATCCTTATTGGCCAGCATATGAAATAATTAATATTAATATATTAATATTAAAATAAGTATTTATCAAGAAAACGAATGAGAATATTATGTACGAAACCTGATAAGCCGTATATGATCCATTATGACATCTGCTAGAACATAATTAAAATTTGAATTCTTTTCAGGATATGTTAAACGGCTCTTAAGATTCTCTAATTGACCGCAAACATGGAAAATTAGCAATCCAAAAAGACTGTCGATTGCAGTATAACCCATGGCAGATACCATAAGAGTAATCCCTTGTGCGATGAATGTAAGCTCAAAGTATGGACTAATATCTGTGTCATAGAAATAATATGTTTGCAGGGGCAACGGTTTGCCTGGATCGGTCACATTTGTAATATATCTCATGGTGATCCCAAAGCACGGAAGAATAAATAATAAAATAAATGATGCAAACATTATAACGAATCCACAGATTATGATCATGCGAGGAATTCGCGCGCATCTTATCATAATCTTTCGTTCTTCGTCAGACTTCAACTTCAGCCAATCTTTTGTGATCATGTACAGAATTGACGCAAGAGCTTTAAAGATAGATTATATAAAAATGAAATAAATGAAATAATTAATTAATAAAATGTAATTTGATATAATTCATAAATTACATTTAAAAAATACATTAAATTACATTATATACAAAAAAGTCGCCAATAGTGCTAATCTCTTAAAAAAATGTCCTCTTATTTCTCAGAAATTAAAAATCGCAGATTTATTAATATTGATAAAAATATATATTTGTGACTTGTTTTTATATAAAAGTTATAATAAAATCAAATTTTTCAAAAGAAAAAATAAAATTTTTATCATTTTCTTTCATTCATCACTATTATTAAACTACGAAAATTGTGTAGTTTAAATAATAGTAATAAATAATTATAATATATCATCGATAATATTAGATCATTTTATATATTTGTAGCCTTTAAAACTATTTTATTTATTAAATAGGCAAATGAGAATCAGCGCTGTTTACAGTGCGCACAGCACTGATTCTCATTTGCCTATTTATTGAATACATTTATTGAATACCGAGAATCACTTCATTAATATTTTATTTATATTTTTTCTTCTTTATTTTTCTTATAGTGCGATTTTAAATATAAAATTGAGATGTAGCATAAATCAGCATCTAGTTTGTCGATAAGACAGATATCATAGAAAATGGTAACTTAACGTGTAATATAATTTATGATTGTGTTATTACTTGTATCGTACAAAAATGAGAATATAGTTTATTAATTTATTATTTTATTATTACCTTCCTTACTTCGGTTCCACATTTATTACCTGCTGTTAATTTTGGGTCCTAATTTTTCAGATGCTTTTTTATTATCTTACGAAAAAATTAATTATTGCAAAAAATTAATTATTAAATTATTGCAAAATATGAAACAATATTATAAAAATTGCAATATTATAAAAAAATATTATATTATTTGATAAAAGATACTTTCTAATTTGTATTTATATTTCTAAAGTTTCATATGTATCATAAACAGTATAAGAAACAAAATTCAAAACAAAGTGATCTAACACTAGTGGCGACTTTCCTTTAATCTTTTAATAATATATATTAAAATGTTCCATATTTTTATAAATAGATTATAATGTCACATATTTTTAGAGATCTTTTTATATTATTATATTATAAATATATGATATGTATATAATAATATTATAATTTTAGAGATTTTACATTATTTTATATAATAATATTTTAATAATATATTATTAATATTATTATAATTAATATTATTAATATTATTATTATAAATTATAATAATATTTTATAATATTTTTTTAAGATATCTCTAGTTTCCCGTGCCAAATTTATAAGAAGGCTATATTTACCAGCTTTTTTACTCCACATGATGATGAGTTTCATTATCATTGATACCAAAGGTAGAGTAAATTGTAAATTGTCTGTCATCGACATCAAATCGCCCCAAACTCTTATCAGGGAATGTATACAAGGAATCACGCAAACAAAGCCTACCATGATAATCAATAGAAATACTCGTATGTTAGCCGTTAATTTTTCTCGCGCTGTTTCTTCCATTTTCGGCCAAAGACCGATGAACTCCAAGCTGTAGCGATTTAATTTTACTGCCCATTCAAAATCTAGTTATCAAAGTGTAAATTTATTAATGTACTATGTAATTGACTATCTGTATTTGTTAATTTGACTACCTTAGAATTATTTCTGTATTTGCAGGTTTATTGAAATAACACGTCTTAAATTGCAAAAATATTTCAAAATTGATATCTTCCATTATATACATAATACTGTATAGACTAATTATATTATACTTTTTTTTGATACCTCAATTTTATTTTGTTCTAGGTTTAAAAAAATCAGAAACACTTAATAATATATTTTGTATCGTCCTTACAACATATACGTTAATTATACATTATAACATTTTTACAGAGATTTCAATAATATATAATATTTAATACTCTACATCATGTGTATATTTCACGCAATTCCAAAAATATATTTTTTTTAATTTGTGCAAATTGGTATACATATATATTAAAATATATGAGCAAAATAATGTTATTTTATTATAATTAAACAAACAAAATAATAAATTTGTAAGATCTTTATGCATTCCAAAATATATGAGAATTAGAAATAATAAACGAACCTGCGTATCCCGAATGTTTAATGGTATCCATATTTAAGACTGATCACATACTATTTTCCTCCGTTAAAAAAAATATTTTCATCCTCACTACTACTCACTACAACTCAAGTATCACGCATATTCGAGACATGACGTATTCATGTATTAAACATAAGGTCTATAGAATAATCGATGTCTTATAAATATTCCGTATTCCGATAAGTGCAGTAACTATTCCATATGAGTAACAATATCGCAGTGTCTCTCGATATTCGATAAAAAAAAGTTGATCGAAAAAAATGTTGCTTCGAAGTTTTTGCATACCCAACGAAACAGAGACAATTGAAGAAAAAAGAAAAAAATAATGTTGTGTTCACGAATTAATGCATTATTGATGTATCTCTATAGAAACTTTCTTTCATCGCAATATAACAATTCATAGAGAGGAGTTAGTTGCACATACGTGAGCAATGTACGCGGCTAAGAAACAAGTTAAAAAAATTTCGGTTCTAATCGAAAATAAAAAAATTGCATAATTAGTCATCCAAATCACCGAGAATTAAAAGTTTTACATTTTTGAAGGTAAAAGATTATTCATTAAAAATATAAGTGATACCTCCTGTGGTATGCACTGTTATCTTATAAAACATTATTTATATAGAAAAAATGCTTTTATTTTTATTTTATTTATTTCTTTTCATTTTTCAAAAAATAATTACTTTATTTTTATTCTAATTACTACATTTCTATTTTATATTTCTATTTTACATGATCTATTTACATAAGAAAATTTTTAAATGAGCAATAAAAATAATTAGTTACGCTGCTTAAAATCGAGAGCTATCTTAATTATATTTTAATTATAATCGCGTTTAACTAAACAACAATTAAACTGTAAAATCGACGATATAATAGCAATTATAATAGCAATAATCGCAATTACAATCATGTTCAAGACTTTAATGCTAAGTTAAATTATCCGAGGTCAATCCAAAATTAATTTTCTGCTTCACATATTTTATTCCCGATACATTTATAAAAAAAAATACATGTAATTGAATTTTCCACATATATTTTTATTATACATTTGCAATGTAATTTTTTATTTAGTTTATACTAATTACTTATTTGAATTATTTCTTCAATTTATTCCGCCATTTATTCAATATTTGTCAAATTACTTACAAATATTGTAATTGTCTTTTTTTAATTATTGATTTATTTGAAATCACAAAAAATATAATATTGTTATTGTAACAAAATTGTTACTGTTGTATGTTCGTATAGCAACAAAATTTAATTAATAAAATAAATTATTTTTATTATATAAAAGAAAGATTTCTTTAAACTTAATATTCTTATTAATTAACAAGCATTATAGCAAATTAACAAATTAATTTGCTATAAAAACAAGCTAATTCTCATTCAGTAATCAAAGTATTTTTTTCGAATAGTAGTGACTTTACTTCAACAACAAATGAATTTGCTAAGAACCCCGATAGCCAAACCTGAAAAGACAGATTATGTACAAAGTCTGTTATAAATTTCTAATGCTAGAAAGCCAACAGATTGCTAACAGATTCTGTAATATCTGACAATATTAACAAATTGCTGCCAGAAACTAGCTGATAGAATCTGTTGATATTCTATGCTAGATTGCAGCAGAAAGCGAGCAGGACTTGCGCGACACAATTTGATGACAGGCATTTGATGATCTGCTCAATTTCTGCTGCCAGTTTGCTGACACAAAATATCAACAGGTTCTGTCAATAGAATGTAAGCAGAATGAGATCTCAGATGAAATGAGTCTGCTAACATTTTCTGATTAAATCTGTTGCCAGTTTGCCGACATTCTGCTAACATTTTGCTGACTGGCAATATATTATTTTTAATAACAATGTAATTTTTTATTTAGTTTATAGTTTTTATTTAGTTTTAGTTTATAGTTTTATCTTAATTATTTCTTCAATTTATTCCGCCATTTCATAAATTTTATAAACCTAAAAATCTAGTAAGAAGAGTTACACCGATCTGTCAGTTCTTATATTTAAGATTGTCTTAAGATAAAATTTTATCAATAAAATAGCTGTACGAGCTTACTTAATACGATCTTAAATATAAAAAGAGACTGTGAATACCGGCCTTAGAATTTAAGAGTCGGCAGGACGGGCCAACCCTAATAAAATTATTTGTTCCTTAAACCTTGTGTTCACCATATTAAAAATTAATCCGAGATCTCGAATGCAAAGAGAATTGACCAATTGCATTTGGATAATTAGGCCAATTAACCAACGCAATTAGTCAATTCTTTTTTCGTATGAGACCTCGAATAGATTTCTAGCATTTTGGACATAAAGCTTTATCCAGACAGCACAAAGAATACATAAAATAATTTGTTTTAAATCCCCAAATTAAATGAAATGTATTCTTCTTCCATCCCACTTCCGATTTAAAAACATTGATAAGAATTCCACAGGATTTCATATCATCAAGTCTGAACTCTCTCTCTCTCTCTCTCTCTCTCTCTCTCTCTCTCTCTCTCTCTCTCTCTCTCTCTCTCTCTCCTCTCTCCCCTCCCTCCTCTCTCTCTCCGCCTCCTCTCTCTCTCTAAAAGTAAACTCTTTTTATAATTTATAAGAATTTGTATGAAATCAAAATAGCTTTTAGATAATATATCTAACAAACACCCAACAAATATATCTTTCAGAAATATTAAGTCCCTAAATTAATTGTTACACAAAACTAGACAAAATTGTACTGGCAAAATTTTATTTTATTTTATTTTATTGCGTAAAGATCAATTTTATATTTACCTTCAAGGTATCATCAAAATAAGATCTTGATGCATCCCTTGATTATTCATTAGAATGGTCCAAAAATTTCATAACACAGTGCCGTTTTATTTTTAGTTACGCGAGATATGGAACTCAGATGCATCCATCTATCGATGGTGCCACATACTACTATTTGCAAATAAATGATTCATTTTGAATTCATTATAAATAAAAAAAAGGATTTTTTTCAAAGTAATTTCGATTTAATTCCAGAAGTCAAAATGTACTTCTTTAAAATCCTTTTTAAATTACCGGAAAGGAAAGTTTTTTTATAGTTTATAGCGATCATTTGCTGTTTGGGAATCTAATAATATATTAAAACGAATTATTTATTCTTGCTTTAAAAAAAAATCGCAACCTACAGACGATTATTTTGATTATAAATATCATAATTACATAGCAATTCTCCCAGTATTTTGCCCATAATACGGGTAAAAAAGAATTTTTTTCCAATAGAGGTCTCCAATAGTCTCTCCTACCCTCAAGATCATTCTTTTTCTATTCATTTTTATAAAATATAATTTAAATAGATGATATAAATGAACGTCTTAATGCATATTTTTCATCACTTGATTTGCTATTGATTTTTAATCGTTAATTTATTAGTATTTAAGAGAATCAATCGCGCTCTATGCCATCATTAAAATCTCCGAATTTATCTGAATCGAAAGACACGAATGTAAAACTCTCGGCACGAGTTCATCATCGCTAGAACATCGCGCGTTATTTTGATCGATGAATTTCCACGTGATCATTTCTTTTCCACGATCGCAATCATCACTCGCGATCACTTTCTCTTGCATTCTATCCCACTCTCGCTTCCGGCGCGTCGCGACGCGTCATCTATTTTCGCATTCGCTCGCACAGATACAACACATCATAGCATCATACGTCATGCATCCAGTGTGTACCTTGTGCGCGTGCGCGCGTCGCGACTCACCTCACGCACGCGTTTCAGCAAATTGTCATGAACTAAATGCCATGAAAGATTCGTAAGCTTACCGCGCGGAGCGCCGGTGTGCGAGTACGATCTGTCGAGAGATGGATGAATGGCGTATTTATGTGTTTTAACGCGCGACATCGCCTATGTTTCGGCATCATCATCGCGGCTCGCATTTACACCACGAGTTACCCGAGCTATCTGAAAAGCAGGTCCACGTGCGTATCGCTGATCCCAGCCCAACGATCCCCGGCGAAGCCGCGACGCAGAGATCGTATCCCCACACGGTAGGCGTTGCTGTCACTTGGCTTCCTTCGCGCCTCGTGCTATTTTCACAAGTTTCCACGCCACTCCCGCATCCCGTGCGCTTAATTTTTACCTCGGTAACGCAAATCGCGGGACTTGCGATCCGTAAAAGACAGAGATATACATATAGCCGTAACGAAAGCTAAGCGTATTTAAGTGGACACCGCTAACAAAATCGCATGTTTCTGTCGCCTTTACAAAACAGTCACTACGTTAACGTGACACTACCAGTGAAATTATCGTCTGTCCGACAGACGACAATTTAGTGATCGCTGTTTTGAATGCAGAGACAATGTTTACCAAGAAGAAAAAGAAACCACAGATTTCTACTCCGACCAACTTTGAGCACAGGGTACATACTGGATTCGATAAACGCGAGGGCAAGTTTGTCGGATTACCGCTGCAATGGGCTTCCATAGTTGGGAATAATCAGATTCTGAAATCAACTAATAGACCACTGCCCTTGGTTGATCCAAGTGAGATCACACCTACCGAGATCCTAGACTTAAAGACCATTGTAAGAGGTCATAATGATCCTAGGATAAATAGACAACTCGCCACTGATAGGACTGTAGAGAATGGCCTGCCTAAGACTAGTACAGTTGCTCGTTCCAATTCTCTACGTTCTTCAAGTCCACCACGACTCAGGAGAGATTATAGGTATAGCAATCTAGTATTGTTTCTATTTTGATTATTGTGTAAAGTTTTTTTTTACATAAGTTGGCTATATACAATGTATATTCAGAAATATCCAAAAAGTACATATTGTACAATGAATATAGCAAAATTTTTTTCTTATAGACATAACAGCAATCTTCCACCATCTGTCCCTGAAGGCCAAGAAATATCTTCTTCAAATGTTAATCAGGGTTTTACAAATTTTGGCAAGCCACATAACTACATCGATAAATTAAGACAAAATTCTCCGAACGTTGGTAGTGGATTAAATTCCAGTATGCAGAATATGATCCCAAATCTTCAAAATCTCAATCCTAATATGCAATCATCACCAAATTTAACTCATTCGGGATCAAATGTACCAAACTTATCCTTGAATTTCCAAAATTTAAGTCCTATTGTAAATTCTCAAGCTCCAGTACAAAGTCCAAGTACCCCGCAACTTCTTGATACAGAATTTCATAGACTTAATTCGCAAATAACTATGACATCAGGCCAATATAATGGCAATGTACAGGTAATTGTTTATATAATACCTTATATATACTTGCATTTATATAAGAAAATGCTTATATGTAGTCGAAATACATTAAGATTTTAACAATTTTTATATATTTTAATAATATTTATAACAGAGCAATTATAGTCTATAAAGTCAAGAAAATAATTATAATTTTGCTTATTGATTTAACAAAATTATGCAATTAAG